CGGACCCGCTGGTACGTTCTTCCGACCCCTTGATGCCCTCCTTCCAGGCTCGTGTGATAATGGTGAAGTACATCTTGTTGCAGATCTTCCGGCACCACCAGCTTCACCAAGCGATCTCGGTCATCATCGTCTCTTGCTGCGCGTGGGCAGTAGAGGGGCAGTCCACCATCGTCTACGTCGTAGTCGTCCGCGATTTTGCTGCAAGCTTGCGCTTCACCAGCGTCCAGGTTCTCCAAGTCGCCTGACAGGTAAGCCTTGAGGTTCGCGATCCACTTCTCTTCGTTCTGCGCTCGCAGAATTCGGTCCGCCCTGATGCATTGAACTACGTCCAGCTGTAGCGTTTCCGTCGAGTTCTTCGAGCGTGTTCGCGATCGAGTCGTCGCGGCCATCCGGACGACAGACCCTTCGTCCGTCGGCAGTAGGAGCTCCTGGAGCCGGTTGAGGTCAACCAAATCGTCATGGTCTACCTCCGAGGTAACGACTGTGTCTTCTTGCTGGTGTAATGCGGTATTGGCTAACCTGTCCGCGCTCTGGCTTCAGTTTCCCTTGACGTGCAGGAACTCGTGGACCGGCCACGTTCTCAGGCGATCTAATACCCGTCGACGAAGAGGGGTCAGACCTGGTACCTTGCACTCTATCTCGCCTCGCATCTGCCGTATCACCAAGTTGGAGCCCCCGCAGATGATCAGGCGTCCCCGCCCAAACTGGAGAGCAGATCGAAGCCTAACAACAGGCCCTGGTACTCCGCCTCGTTCACGGTTAGGCCGGGCAAGTACTTTGATTCGGCTGTGACGACGATCCATTCAGGTAATTTCCAGGCAATAGCGCTACACGCTCCACCGCCTCGTTTGACCCGTGCTGATCCATCGAAACTCACGACTAATAGTTCTTCGCCTTGTTCAACGGTAGGTATCACCGCTGAAATCTGCTGGCGTGGTTGTTTCCTCGGCGCGATAGACGACAAGATCGAGTCGACATTTTCCCGGGGCGTGATGCTCGCCGCAATCGTACCCAGGATCTCATCTTCGCCGCGTGTACACTTGACGATCTCGAGCGTCCAAGGAGAGAGCAGCGCCGCCCAGTTGCCTAGCCTGCCTTGGAGTCCTGTGGATCGCATCAGCCATGCTAGCGTGGAGTGCAGAGTTAGAACCTTGATCGGCCTCGTGACCAGTGTGGAGTAGCACACGTCCAAGATCCGGAGAAGGGCCAAGATCTCTTTCTCGACCATACCATAGTTGAGCTCATTGGGCTTCAGCGTACGACTGGTGAATGTCACCGGCATATATGTGCCATCGTGCTCCTGCACCAAGGCTGCGGAGATTGCCCAATCGCTCGCATACACCACGACAACCGATACCCGGTCTGGATCGAAATGCCGCAGCACGGGCGCCGTCGCGATCTTGTTCTTCAACATCTCAAACGCCGCCTGCGCTCAGTCCCGCTTGTCCCTTTCGTCCGTCTGCGCCGTCAGTCTTTTGGTCAGGGTTCCGGCTCATCTCATGGAAGTCGATCTCTCGCAGCTCGTACAAGATCAAGGCATAGATCGCGAGATCCTCAATGAATCGGCTGTAGTAGTTGAGGCTTCCGAGGAAGGAC